GCTAATTAGCAGAAAGTTAAGGGAAATGATAAACCACAGACAATAGGGATATAGGCAATGTTGTGGTGAGGTGAGCAATCCTTCAGAGTAATCAGAGAAGAGGTCGCGATTTTAGTGATATGCCGCTCACGTCATTTAGAGCGGTGTCAGCTTAAAGCAATCGCTGCTCTTACTAGCTAGAGCGGTGTTCACTTAGCAAAGTCCCGCTCTGAAGAGGAGGAGCGAAGGAGCGCGCGACTGAGGGAGGCGAAAGCAGCCTCTCGCCGCGGAAATTGACCGCTCCCGCTATGTTGAGCGGTGTTGCACTGACTTGACTCCGCTCGAACGTGCTCGGTCGGTGTTTTTCTGAGCAAGAGTCCGCTCTGAAGGTTGCAGAGCGAAGTCTTGTTAGGCAAACGCTGCTCTGTGTTGTGTAGAGTGGGGTTTGAGCTTGACGAATGCTGCTCTAGTACCTGCGAGCGGGGTTACTGAGATATAACGCCTCTCTGAGAGCCGAGAGCGGCGTCGCGCGTTTTACTTTTGGCCCTCAGCCCCCAATGGGTCCTCGGAGAGGGTACCCTGGGTGGGTGGGGCCTCTACTCGCCAGCCCTGCGCTGCACCGCGCTCCTGAGAAGAAGAATTTTACCCGGCGCTGGGGCGCTGGGCACGGGACTGGCGCGCACTGGCACTAACTTAGGAGAAAAGAATTCGCGGCGTGACTCACGCCTCGAGCCTGCACGCGGCCAGCTGCGCGCCGATCCTCGGGTTGACGTGCGGGTTGGCATTTGCGCGGCCCGCCGAGCACCGCGGTGAGCGCACCGCGCCGCGGGCGGCCGCCGCCCTCCGGCACGGCGGGTGGGCGTGGCACTCGCGCCGCTCGAGCGCCGCGGCGTTGTCGCGTTGCGCGGCCACCTCGCGCCGAAAGTCACCCCCCTCGTGCGCGGCCAGCGTCGCCTCGAAGCGGGCGACGGCGGCGTCGTGCAACCAGTGATCGTCGGCAGCGATTCGGCGGACCATGGCGCGGCACGCGGGCAGCGCCGGGTCGTCCTCGCCGCAGAGCTGAGGGGCGGGGGTGGGGTTTGGGAGGAGGGGCGGGTCACCCGGTCCACGCCCTCGTCATCCCTCGCCGGCATCTCGGCAGCCTCTCCCCCGGACCGCGCCTGGCTCGCCGTCGGGGTGCGGCAGTACTCGACGCCCACCCACTCGCCCTTCACCTTGCGACCGCGGCAGCGATAGCGGCCCTCGCCCTCGCCCTCGCCCGGCTCGCTGAGCTCCGCGAGTCGTGCAAATGTGTTTTGCGTCGCGAAGGTGGAGCTGAGCCACCTGTTTGTGTCACGCGAGGATGTGTGGACGGCGCCTCACCACCGGCATGCCTCCTGGTGATGCGTGGCCCACACCCGCCGGCCAGCCGCGCCGCGAGAACCGCAAATTCGGCCATCCGCTCGGTGGGGCCGACGAGATCCGCCTGCCGCCAAAGGCGCATGCGGCTCGGGGGCTTCGTGGCGCGGGAGAGCCCCGGCGGGCGAGCGTCTGCCGAGGCCAGGGCGAGCTCGAGGCGCCGCCTCTCCTCGGCAGAGAGCGCACCAGAGGGCGGCTCCGCGAGGTAGCGCTTGGGCCCGACGATGAGCTGCATCCGGGGCAGCCCCGCCAGCCCGCGGGGCCAGGTGACGGCGAGCGCGCCAATGAGCAGCTTCCGCGCCTGAATTGGGAGGAGAGTCTCAGCAGGGTGCTCCATCGCGCCCGCCTGTCGGACGCCCCCAGCGCGATTCAAAGGCCGGCGCTGCTTCCACACGGTTCCAGAGTACGAGTGCGGCTGGCTAGCCACGCGCGCGCCTGCAGGTTGGCGGGCAGCGTGCTCTCGTTGAGCCGCACGAGGCCGCGGTAGCCCGCCTCCCAACGGAACCAAGAGACGTACCACGCAAAGGGCTCACGCACGCGCAGGAACACCTTGACGCCAGAGCAGCCACCTGCACTGACGCCGAGTGCGCGCAGGCGAGGCACGTCGCGCGACCAAAAGAGGTAGCCGACCTCCCCGTGTGCCTGAGGCGACGAGAGAGACGGGCGTCACTCCCCTCCTCCTCTCTTCTGCCCCCAACCCTCTGCCCTCGCCACCTCGGCACAGACCCGCTGCCCGCGCCGCAGAGCGTCGCTGACCTCCGCTACATCCCACGGCCTGGGGTTGCCGCCGCGGACGCAGCGGCCGTGCCGCGAATTCTGCTCGAGCAACGAGCGGAACGTGGAGCCGCCATTCTTCTCGACGTGCCTGAGGGAGGGTGGCGTTTGAGCGGTGCCCGCCTGCCCACGGGGCTCCAACCGGGATCTCGGGCCCGAACATGGCTGGCGGCGATCAGCCCAACTTGCTCGGGGGTCATCAGCTCTGAGAGCATCTCAGCTGCTCACACAAGCCACTGCTATTGTTGCTCACCTGTCGATGACGACCGCGGCGCAGCCCGGCGACGTGCGTGGGCAGGCCTCGCAGGCCGGCCAGCCACCGTACTCGACGCGGAGCCGGCCCAGGCCGCAGTCGAGATCACAGGAGGGGGTGGCGTTGCTGGGCGGTGGCGGCGCCGCCAGCGCTCGGCGTGGACGCATATTACATGCATACACACATCGTTGTTCCACGCCGACTATTGCAATAGTTGGAAGGACGCGCGTTTTACTTGGCGGGCTTTTCTTTTGTTCCGAAACGATGCCTAGGGGAGGCGAGCACTCTCGCTGTGCCCCCGGACAGTCTTCCTAGCACAACAGCAGTGTCAGAGGCGACGTTCCTGTGTGGCGTGGCGTGGGGCTGCATAGCCGTCGACCCCTCCATCAAGGCGACGACGCACCTGCGCAAGCGCGGCAAGGCGGAGAACTCCGGCGACATGGACGGGCTGGTGGGCAAGCTGATGAAGGACCAGGAGGCCACAACCGCCGAGGGCGGCGAGTAGGGTGGGGCAGCGAGCTCGCTGCCGAGCGGCGCGAGACGCGAGACTTTAGAAGAACGTGCGGTTTCCGTGTGCAGGCAGCGCGATCTCGGCCCGATCTCGGCCCGATCTCGGCATCAGCAGGCATCGAGATCAGTGTACAGTGAGGAGGACCGCGTGTGCCCCATCGCTGGGGGCGTGGGTGGTGGGTGGGTGGGTGGGTGGTTGGGGCGTGGGCGCCGTGGCCGTGGGTGGGTGGGTGCGGGTGCGGGGCGTGGGCGTGGGTGGGGCGTGGGGCCTGGGGAAGGTCAACACAGTACAGTACAACACACATGCACATAGGTCTACATACGCCGCACAACATTTTTCAGCGTTCTTGCAAAGTTCACAACTGATGGTCATAGACATGAGCGAGATCTCGTACCGACGCGGCGCCGCCCTCGAGTTTGCCGCAACGCCAGCACCGCTGGCGCTGGCCGCTGGCCGCACACCCTCATCAGAAGCCCAGCAGCTGGGACAGCCCGCCAAACGCGCCCTCGCAGTGCGCCACGCCTTGCTTGGCGATCATGTCCGGCCGAGCAAAGACCCACGCGCCGATGGCAGCCACCACCGCCCCGCCCAGGGCCAGCATGGCGCCGGCCGAAACGCGGCTGCTGCGGCCGCCGCCCTCGCCCTCGGGCAGCAGCAGCGACGCCACGTGCAGCACGTGCAGCAGCAGCAGCGTCAGGCCGACCGCCTCGCGCCCCTCCTCCTCCTCGAGCGCCGACCACGCGAGCGCACCCAGCGGCAGCCCAAAGTCGAGCCGCGGCCACAGCCGGCCAGAGAATACGGATATCACCACTCCGAGGGCCGCGGCGAGCGCGGCCGCGGCGCCGAGCAGCTGGCGGCGTCGGGCAGGGCGGCTCTCGAGCGCATGCGCAGCGGGCAGCGCCACGCCGCCGCCAACGTAGGCCACCACCCACCACAGCGGGTCGGGGTCGTTGAGGTTGGCAAACGCGGCCGCGGAGAAGAAGAGGGCGGCCAGCACGAGGTACGCTGCCGTGGCGGAGCTGCGAAGCATAGAACCCATGGTCTGTGCCGCTCCCGACAGGCGAGTGTGTGCTGCCCGAGTCGAGGTGCGCACTCAGGGCGCTGGCAGTCCGAAAAATGCCGTGTGTGTGTGTGTCGGACCGCGTGGCGCGCACAAGCAGGAAACTCCACGCTATCTTCTTCCCAAAGCAGTCACATTCACAGCTTGTTGACCTTCTCTTGTTCACAGCCACATTTTTATCAATTGTTCACGACGGCGTTCACATGAAATTGCGGCATAGAACAATGCCTGAAGTCAAAGCAGATCGCATCACTTCACAGC